AAGAAAAAAAAAAAAAAAAAAAAAAAACATGTTCCCTTTTTTATGTCGGCAATAACAAGTTTTCTCGGTCTCGGTCTCTTAGCATACATAAACCAGCCCAATAATTTTGTTGGTGGCATTTACCTTCACAATAAATGATATGGGCCTTATCTATGTCTTAGACTTGGTTCTTAATCTTCCTGACAAATTTGCAATTAGCAAGGCCTTGTACGAACAACCAGGTTAGAATAATTGGTCCAGCAAACAAGACAATTCGAATATATTAATTTTACTTAGCCCAAGAGAAATTATTAAATGATTCTAAAGCACATCATTATGTATAACATGTAATTAAGTATGATATGCAAATAGTAATATGTCTTTACATATTCGAATTTTAGATTTCATTTGTTTGAAATTAAAATGTATTTTTTTTTTATAGATTTTTTAAATTCTGAAAACATTAAAAAAAATGTCAAAATAAACTTTTTAAAAACTTATATAATAATCATAAATAGTTTTAAACATATTTTTAATTTATAAACCTGAAACAAAAATGGAATAGAGTAACGATATATAGGAAACGTATCCGATAAACTCGAGAAAATGAGGTGCATTTTTTAAGGGGAGGGAGATGGAGGAGATAGAGAAATCAGAAATGGAACAAGATTTCAATTCGTTATTTATTATCATTGCTCAATGTTTTTGTTCTTATTATATCACATTATCATATTTTGCTTCTCTTTTCCTCACTCAAGGTGTAAATTAGCACCCAAGTTTGTATGATTTTTTTTCCAATGGAATATGATAGAGCTTACATACCTCTGAACTAAAATTTAGAATACAACTAGTATCTAGTATCAAATATATACATGTTATATACAAAATACAGTATCAATTACAATATAAACTTATATGACGATTAGTGTCTATTCAAAACCAGACTACATAAGAGTAGCCAATAACAATCAAATATAGTCACCTTCGACGTGACTAACCTCTGAATGCACAAGTCATCTCGCTAATATTGTTTTACTCTTATATATGAGGAGGATTCCATTTATTTAGGAGTAAGTCTACCTAGACTTGCTTCATTCAATAGCGTATGTTCTACATCAAATTTCAACGATCCAATCGTTGAATTTAAAGTTCTTAATGCATAGATCAAATGAAGTATCAAATGATTTTTAAATTTTTAAAAAATTAATAAATTTAATCTATGCATTAAGAACTTTAAATTCAACGATTTGATCGTTGAAATTTGATGTAAAACATGAGTTATTGAACGAAGTAAGTATAGGTAGACTTACTCTTAAAATAAACGGGTCTCTCCTATATATATATGTGTGTGTGTGTGTGTATACATATCAACTTATAACAACACATGTCATCTACGAAGATGTCATATATCTTGAGATAAATAGTTTGAATGATTTGACTCTATCGAATCACAATGATTGGTATAATACTAGAAACAATGGTTGACACCAAGGCCAAAAACAACGACTAACACGAGGCTAAAAACAACAATTAACATAAGTTATATTGATTTCTCAAGTTTCACCACTTAAATAAGAATGTATGATATCATGTCAAGATAGAACAGTTTGAGTATGGGTTTATTTATCACGACAATAGTTTGTAACACTAAGCCACCTATTGAATTAGCCTATCAATTACCCTATAAATACCACAATCTTTTGATATTAAGTTGGAAATAAGTCTTAAACCTAGTACTTTACTCAGTTGTTTACTTTATACATATCGTTTATGTTCACACATGGATACCACATAGAACATAGAGAAAACAATTAAAAATAATTTGTCTATTCAAAGGCCAACTTACCTATTGAAAGGTTGAAAGGTTTCAATCGAACTCTCAAAGTATCGCAATGCATATTCGCACAATGGGATATTAAGTTTGAAAACATATTTAACTCTCATTCAATTTTTATGTATCGTAGTTAAGACATGTATCTAATCCACATATCTATAACTTATATATCAACTTAACAATTTTATTAACTTTCAACATTCAACTTATCAACTTTAACAACATACAACATGTACAATGTTCAATGCTCAATGCCACTCCACCAACGCTCAATGTGAACCCAGATAAAAACCAGTCTCATGCCTTATGTCATTTAACCCACGCCCAACGTAATTCTAATCCGAGACAAGTATTTCTCCTCATGTTTTGTGCCACCAATCTAATGTCTAACATGAGTGAGATAAAACCTTTCTTTAGAACCGAGCCTAATGTCTTAAAGATGCGTTTGACGCAATATCAATTTTGCATTTATATAGAACACAATTTCAATCTAATTCACCTGAAAATCAACAATTTAACAACATCCAATACAACATGCAATGCAACATACAATAATTATACATGATATACAACATCATTTCATCATCCAAATCAAAATCCAATTGTTTTAAAGCAATAATCAATCATTAACCTATTACTAATTCTAAAATGCTTTAATTTTTATGACTTATTGCACTGATCACCTAGTAGGTCCAATTTTTAAAATAATGTTTCATTCCCACCTTCTTTATTAATAAGATAATATCGATTTAATTATGTATTTCTAATTTATAACATGCATCCGTGGCTACGATTGTATCCCATCCCTAGTGTTATACCACTCTTCTTACAAAAGTAAGTCAAGTAACTTTTAATTGTTCCATGCATAACAATGCCTCTTCACGAAAATCCTATAGTATTACTCCTACCAAATAATAAGTATTGTTCTACTTTATTTTTTTAAAACAAATCAATAGAAGCTACTAAATAGATAAATGACATTAATTTTATAAAATTAAATTTATTATTATATATCTTTTATAAAATTTACACAATACAACAACTTTCTAAAAAATATTATTAGAAATAAAAATAAAAATAATTAATATTAGATTAAAAATAAAAAAAAAAAATTATTTTGAGAATTAATTTTTTTTCTCACGCGACAATTGTTACATAAGGAATGAAAGAGTCTGATTTAGTGGATACAGTACTTGTGTTGTATGCCCAAATGACCAAAACCACCTACTCCAAGACCAAATTGAGGCAAACCTAAAGAAGCCCACAGATTTCACTCATCACTGTGTAAACACGTGTCCTATTCCAAGGCTGCTCTAAGTTCCTCATATTTCCCCAATTCTTATACTTTCAGAGGGACAAAATTAAGTGCATCCGTACACTACACTATCATCAACCGCACATTCACAGAGAGTAACACCAAAAGCTCCATAATATCAGCAATAGGACATCTTTTTTAAAATAAAAAAAAATTAGTGCCATCTGTTGTGGCTCCTGCTTAAATAGTAAGCCACATCAATAATATTTTTTTACTTATTTATCTGAACAAATTTAAATTCTCACAATTGGACATATATATTACGGGATTTATGCCATCATTATCATTTTGTCAATAGGTTTTGCACTTATTACCACTAAATTAGTCGGATATACAATTTCACAAAATTTCATCCAATCTTCTGTCATATATGCATGCATTTTAAGCATATTAGAATAATTGTTTTCGAACATATTATCGCCATAATTATTGCTCACCTGCACCGATACCAACTTTTACCACTATTTATTGCTTTTAGGGTTTAGGGTTTAGGGTTTAGGGTTTATATTTCATCTAATACTTTATATTTAGATGACTCACTTTAGCGTTTACATGTACACAATTTCTCTCTCTGCAAATTTTTTTCCACCTAAGAGCGAGAAATCAAAATCTGTGAAAGACAAAAACTAGAGAAGATTTCAATAGTTCAACAACTTGCAAGTTGCCTGCACCTTTGTTCACAATTTAATATTTTAATATATGATGATATCTAGCATGTGTTGTGGTCATAACAACAGAGAGGAAGAGAATTTAATTGAAGGTTGAGGATGAAGAAGTGCGAGCTTTGCAACAAGCCCGCAAAATTGTTCTGTGAATCAGATCAAGCGAGCCTCTGTTGGGAATGCGATGCTAAGGTTCACAGTGCAAACTTCCTCGTAACCAAGCATCCTAGGATTCTCCTCTGCCATGTTTGTCAATCACTAACAGCTTGGCACGGAACTGGACCCAAGTTTGTACCCACCATCTCCGTTTGCAACACTTGTACCTGCAGCCAACAGAATCACGATCATGATGATGGCACAGAGGAGGATCACGTGGAAAACCATGATGGTGGTGTGACTCAAGATGATGAAGAAAATCAAGTGGTTCCGGGGACATCTACACCACCACCCCCTGCTTCCACTTCTTCAAGTGTTGCAACTAGTTCTACCAGGTTCTCTAATGTTGAAGAAGCTGCCTCAGATTAATGTTTCTACTATCCCGTGTTTTTTCCCCCTTTTCTTTCTTTCTAATTTTGATGATTTTTGGCTTGTCACATCTGTTCATAAAACTAAGATCATACACCTCCAACTCCAAGGTCTTTGATATTATTTCTTTTTATTTCCTTAACGTTTTCACAGGTAACAAAGTCAATTGCTAGTTTTTGTGCTGTAGTAATCATCTACGAATTCGCTCTCTCATGCAGCTACTGTATCTGGTCATGGATATGTTTGTTGTTGGCAACTACACCAGAATATGCATCCTAGTTGAATTTGAATACACAAGAAAATCAAGATGATCAGGGTTAGATGCTCGTGTAGAATTTAACAAGTAGAGTGCTAATTGCATGGGCTAAAATCGGGGAATGCTAATCTCTTTAGTTGCTAATAAACCTGGAGTTTCGTGCTTATTATTACCAATTAAATCCATCCATTCAGGTGCCACAGGTTTTTGTGTTAACATTTTATTCCTTCTCTGTTTTTGATTGATTTGTGAGATTTGAGTTCTCTCGCAACATGTTAGTGTTTTCTAAATACCAACAGACACTACTGTTGATTTTGATTTACTTGTTTTGAAAATAATGACGGGTCACAATGATAGGGCATTCAACTTGCTGTTCTAATCCAAGATTGTCCACTTGCCTTAATTATTAGAATTTATTGAATAACTATAGTAGTTTAATTGCATTTCATGCATTCAATTCTATTTGATGTGATAACATGGCTCTCCTTCCAACACGAAATGTGAGGACAATTGAATTCTGAACAGTAATTTTCCCTGACTGAAGAATTGTCCGATCTAGGATATTGCCTAGAATCTTTCTTATGTTTATAAAATAGTACACACGATGATCCCCTGGCATTAAATAAAACGAATACATAAGCAGGCCCCATGTGTTAGACTAAAATTAAAAAGGAAAGAACAACCATCTCTTATGTGGTTCACCACACCAGTATAAAATAAAATAGCCTTATTAAGATTTGAAGCTGATAATTAGGAAGTGGGACCAGACATATCCGACACCTTCACGTGCCTTCCATAAACTTAATTTATAATTTAAGTACAGTTGAACATGGATAATAGTACATAATTGCTAATCCCAAAGAATGTTAAACTAAATTAATGCCACGTTTACAAACGAGATATGAAAAAAAAAAAGTGAATGGGATGGACGGGGTTAAATTAGGAAGTATATATGCAATGACTTCGTGTGAAATGGTTGTTGGAAGAAAAATAGCGTATATATATATGTGTGGCTGCAGGTGCAAGCTTTTGCCAAAATTTACCACTACGGACACAGGAGATACTTTTTGGGTTATATGTGTGTGCTTATTCCTTGGATTATTTATGCTCCAAAAGCTGTTGGTTTTTTTGATTTGTCTCTGAATGTACAATGTGTATGTATGATCCACAAAAAGAAAAATGTTATGCATTATGGATATATCCTTTATCCTGAAATTGTAGCCACTACTCTCACTTTGGTATCCCGCAATGTCAAAAGTTTTTTCTGACAAAGATGGTCATATAGGGTCAATCGCTTTCTTTAAGCAACATAGAAATTCTATGGGTGGTCACTATATCAAATCCTACGCAGTTTCATAGGAGAACCATAGAAAATATGGTCTCAATGTAAAATATCATCTCAGAATTAAAATTTTTTATATGTGAGGATTAAAAAGTAGGATAGTTGAATATGATTTTTTTAAAGTAAAAATATTACATTTTAGAAAATAAAGTATAATAATAATAATTTATTAAAAAATTAATAATTAATATGATAATTAATTAGAGGGATTAAGACTAGAGATGAAAATATGTCTGGATCATATTTTAAATATATAGGATGAGTCTGTTATATAAAATTAAAGTCTAAACTTAACCTATTATACATCATAGACTTTCTTTTATAAGTGTAATTTTTAAAATTTAGCCTAACTTATTAATTTATTTAAAACATATTTAAATTATTAATGTTAATTAAATTAATAAATTTAATTTTTAAAAATATTTACTCAACTATTAAAATTTAAAATTAAAAAAATATAAAAGAAAAAGTGAATCATTTTCTATTAAAAAATAATGTAAAAGTAATGAACTTATAAATTTATGATAAAAAAATAATTATATAAAATATTTTAAATATTAATAATTTATTTTTGTTTTATAAATTTATTTATATTTTTAATAATATATATTAATTTTTTATTATATCATATAAATAAATAAACTAACCTATCCAACTTAGCAACTTTTTTTTTTATAAATCTAAGCGTTATCTTTCTATATAAATATGTTTTCTTTTAAAATTTAAAATTGACTTTTTTATTAAATAGATCATGATTAAATTTTAAAGAAATAATTTCATAAAATCTTATTTAAAGTCTAACCTATTTTTATTTCTAGTTAAACTTTATATCACTATCAAATATATAAACATATATTAGATGGTTGTGGGTAGTTATTTATATTTAGAAAGGTTATGAAAAATTAATTTTTTTTTTATATCGAAAAATACACTAAAAAGTGGAGTGAAAAAATAATTATATTATTATTATTTATAATAGGTATAGACAGATTTTAAATTTTATAATTGTAATGTAATATAAGTGTGTTGTTTAATAAGATTAAAATCTGATATAGAAATTAGAAACGATAGGCCCAGCCCAGTGGTTCCGTTTGAATTGGAAATTGAAGATCTAAAACCCTATCGATCTATCTGTGTATCGAGTATCGATCGATCAATCGTTCTGGTTGGAAAAGATGCCTCAGAGGCACTCGAAGAACAACAACGACCTCGCCTTCTTCACGTACGATGAGAAGCGGAAGCTAGGTTATGGGACCCAGAAGGAGAGACTCGGCAAGGACTCCATTAAGCCCTTCGATGCCTGCTGCCTCTGCCTCAAATCCTTAATCGACCCTATGAGCTGTCACAAGGGCCATCTCTTTTGCAAAGAGTGCATTCTCCAGTGCCTCTTGTCTCAGAAGAAAGACATTCAAAGGTCTATTTTCTATCTCGCTTTATTTTATTTCAAATTGCAAACCCTATGATTCAACTCCAATTACTTGCATTTCTATTGGTCCTTTGTTGAACAAGAGTGGGATACCTTTTGCTGTGCCTTTTAATTGGAATGGATATGAAAATAATTTCACTTATATTCTTATTGCCGACGGACGTTTGTTTAATTGAAGCTGCTTGAATTACTGTACATTCTTAGATGAAATTTTCTACAAGGCTAGATTTGTTCTTTCACACAATCAATTTGCTTCACTGGGTTGAATGCTTTTCGAATTTAGATAGCTGAGCTGTGTTGTTTAAGGCATCATTTTTCCGGTGTTGCATGATTTGTTTTGTGAAGTTGAGTTGAATTTTGTTTGTTGCAACTTGCAACTGGGTAATGATATGGCTGCCTTGGGAAGGTGATGTCCTGTTTCAGAATATTGGTTTGTTTCATGTCTCTGTCACAGCGGTCCTTCTTGCAAACTGTTGATTGAGGATTTTGTTCACTTGTGATGTTCTCTTTGAATTTTTCTATATTTGTGATGGGCTCATTAGTCATAAGTATAACCATGTCATTTATCTTGGATTACTGTCTATTAATATTGATAAATGTCATTGCATGATTGCCCATTTCTGTGTGCCTCTGAAGTTCAATACTTGATTACACATACTTGACTTTTTTTTTTCTTCTTGTGATATGGTTCCAGTTGACCATCAGTACCACTTCTCCACAAGCTTTTCCATTGGCTTGTTCAATATAACTTTCCTTTGTCATCAATGTTGATATACGTTATAATGCTTCAGTGGTACTTTTTTCTAGTCCCTTAAGATCCCTAATCTGTTTCTGATATTGCATTGGGTTTATCTTGTAAAATTATGCATTCTATCAACCATTTCTGAATGTTTATAATTTTTCTTATAATAAAGAAAATGATTTGACCAGTTCTATCAAGAAGAATCTGCTGGTCTTTGTGATTGCTCATCTGAGTACTTATGCAGAATAGCTGCCATTGATTGCTCAGAATTTTAAATCTATATTGTCTTTGTTTATAATATGTTTTTCCTTGGTGTGGATACAATGATTGTTATGTTGTTGTGAACCTTAACAATGTGGTTGTGATAACTATTTTTAATAAAACAGAAAGGTTGCAGCCCATGCTACTCAGCAGAAGCAAGAAAAAGAGGAGGAAGAAGAGAGGTTGATGCTGCAAAAGGCTAAAGAGCTTGATGCATTTGATCAACAAAATCATGGTGCTGTACCGCAATACAGTGACAGAAATTATAGCCGTGATAAGAATGGTTTCCATGGGGCAAACAGTGTGAAGGCCACTTCCTTTGAGGAGGAAGCCCTTCGGACAATGAAGGCATTTTGGCTGCCTTCTGCTACACCGGAAGCTTCTGTCAAAGTAGAAGCCCCTTCTACCAGCACTATCTGTCCGGAAGGCAAGGAGAAACTGAAGTTAAAGACACTTTTCCCTGTCCAGTTTACTGAGGATACTAGTGAGCAGAAAAAATCCAAGGCTCTTGACAAGACCTACATTTGCCCTAGCTGTAAAGTTACTCTTACCAACACAATGTCGCTTGTGGCCCTTAGTTCATGTGGGCATGTATTTTGCAAGAAGTGCGCTGACAGATTTATGGCTGTTGATAAGGTTTGTCTTGTTTGCAACAAGGCCTGTAAAGAGAGAAATTTGGTGAATTTGGAGAAGGGAGGGACAGGTTTTGCTGCTCACGGGGATCATCTTGAAGCCACAGACTTCAAGCATTTGGGAAGTGGTAGTGGTTTAGGGCTGGTTAGACCTGCAATGAAAACTTGACGTTTTATTGATTTAGCTTGTTGGGTACTCCACCCATGAGAAGAAAAATTGTGTTTTAACTTCTCTTGATGAGGTTACCTTGTTACCGTGATACACATATCATCTGTATGACTATTAAATGTTCTACTTGTTTATTTCACTTTTACCTTTTTATTATTATTATTATTTCTTTGCCCATGATAAACCATTGAAGGTTTATTTATTGAGTTAATCACTTATACATTGTCAGTGTAAAATTTTTTTTATACTGACAATTAATTATATTTTTTAATTGTATCATGTCATTGTAAACACATTTACTGATACAATTTAAAAATATAATTAGTTATCAAGATAACAAAATTTTATACTGTCATTAACTTTTATTTATTTGTACGTGAAAAATCAGCCTGAACCATATTATGACTAGCGATTGGCTATGTTAAATGTAATGAATGCATTCTTAGCTGTACCTTTATTTATTGTGAAAGGATACTGGCTGTCACTACTGCAGGTTGGTGAGCGATAAATCATCTACAATGTTGGTGAGGCTTGGTAATTTTAAATTATTAATAGACAGCTTAGAAATTTCGGTTGATAATTGTTTGTCAACTTCCTAGGGATATCTTTATTTTTTAATAGTAATATTGTTTTTAATTACTGCATATAATATAATTGCCATTTTAGGGATGAACATTATCAGAACCCGCAGTGGTCACGTTCAGTGAATTTTGTCTCAACACGAGTTTCTATTAGTGATAGTAAATAACATTCATCGTTATTTTTTTTGTTGTATAAAATGAATTTTTTGTCTCTTAAATATTTTGAAATGTTATTTTTTTTTAATTATGAAAAATTATACCTTTTTAGTATTTATGGTTATAGAAATGATGTTATTAAGAGGTTAAAAATGTGTTTTCTGTTAAAATGTGAGAATTAAATAAGTAAAATATTTTTACATGGATTAAAATTAAAATTTTACAATATTTTGAGTCTTTTCACAGCTCTTGTGAATTATGATTTTCTTCCCGGCTAGGATACACTAACAGTTGAATAACATGAGTTTTCTTTTTTAAGTCAATTTCTTCCATTCGAATAAATAATTGGCTGCGCGCAGCACGTGGGCTGCTTGAGGGAGAAACATGCAATTGTAACAACGTTACGCACTTATAAAAAGCAAAAGTTGAAAGCAAAACCCTGTATTATTATTTCTTTCGTTTTTAACCAACTAGATGTTACGTTAGGGTAATTTTCCTAAGATTTTAAACATAAAAAAATTCTTTCCTTTTCAAGCAAAGGTTCTATGTTATTCTACTTGTCAACTGTGATCATCATTCATCATTTTGTATGGCATTGGATTGGATATGCTTTAATTTTTACAGTAAAATTATCAGAATATATATGAATTATTCACACAAAAAAAAAAAATACATTACGCAGCTTAAATTTTGAAATGGATTTTTATATAAATATTTTAATTATTTTTTTACATGCGTGCTTTTATTTTATTTTATTTTTATTTTTGGAGACTCCGGTTGGAAAACATTCTATTTCTTTTTGTACGGCAGAAAATATAACTGAAGCCAGCTTGGGTTGGGTGGGCAGTGGTACGGTATTCTTTATCCACATCTACGATTCATCACTTATCTAATCCAAGTATCCAACTTATATTGCCCCATTTTTTTATTATATTTTGTCCCTACATATTTGTTTATATAAAGATGACATGGATATTTATCAACAAAAAAACAATGGCATGGATATGGAAGGCATGTTCCCTACCTTCTAAGTTTTAACACAACCTAACAAACTTGCTCGCTGTTTTTTATAATATATTTTTTTATTCTTTATATCCTTAATTAAAATATTTTTTTTAGTTTCTATACTTATTTTTTTTTAATTACTTTTAATTTTTATAATTTAAGATACAAATATTTTTAGTCATATATTTACAATTTTTAAATATTTTTAATTTATATTGTTAATTTTTTTAATAACGTTATTTCTTTGATATTGATATAACAAAGATATTAATTTAATTTTGTATGTCTAATGTCAAATTTATTTTAAATTAAATTTTTTGATATTTTATATCTTGTTTAAAATGTTCATTGAAGATTTATATCACGTCAAAAAAAATAAATAATGTTATAAAATTATTTTAAATTTATATTTGTGCACCTTTATATGCGATATTCATAGTTGATATATGATTTTTTTTAATCTTCACAAAATAAAAAATTTATACCACATATAGAAAATAGATAACATTAAAAAAAATGATAAAGAATAAAAAAATTAAAAAATTGTAAGTATATAAACTAAAAAATATATTTTAAACTATAAGAATTAAAAAAGATTAAAAAAATATAAACATATGAATTAAGAATATCTATTTTAAATTATAAATACTAAAAAATATTTTAACCTTATTTTTTAATTAAAAAATTATGGAAGCTTCAATTATTTGTAAACAAGCAAAAATATCTTTGTTTCGAAGTTTTTCCCCCTTTGTCTAATCTTTCTATTTTGTTACTTCAACTAGTTACTTTGTCAATGGTCACAAAATCACTAGCGATGCTATTTAACCAAATTTGTACTATTAATTACTTGTGTAGATTGATTCACGTAAATGTAGGTCAGTTATTTAAATATGGTCAATACAATTTTTTTTAAAAGATTTTTGACCAATAATCTCATTTAGTCATCATAGAATGCTAGGTCAAACGAGATGTGGTACAATTATGGTTACATTATAATACTCGTATCAATATAGCAAAATTCCAACTTTTTAGAGAAATATATCTATTAGTATTTTTTCATTTTGATTCTAAAGATCTCTATTATTGTTTATTCCAATAACCAATCAAAACATGTAAAAGTCACGTGTTAGAAAACGCAACTTGTTAACTTTGACAGTGAAATTGGCTTCACATTTAGCTGATTGAATTGGCAAAAGTTGTTGTCGTTTTTCTCCAATTTCAACTTTGAGTCTCATCTTCTGGATGGACAAAGTGAATTGAAGAGGCAATGCAACGGCGCTGGCACAGTGGACATGTTATTTTTGGTAATCACGTTTGACATGTTATCCTATCCCCGTCTTATCAAAAAAGAGAAAATTGATTACGTTTATTATTATTAGCGAAGTTACCGTAATTAAAAAGAAGCAAAATCAAAATTAGTAGACCGGTAATGAAAATCTTAGCTTGACGATGTGGTTGCTGTAGTACCATTCAAATTGAGACACTTTATCGGGTCCCACACGCCATTATTATCCGCCAACCGAGGGATCACTGTTAGTGTTGTTATTCTTAATAATAATAATGATAATAATATTATTATCATTGTCATTATCATTATCTGCAACAAACATCGTCCCACTTGCTTTCATAACCCACGCACAAAGCCACCGCAACAAACACAACAGAAGAATCCTCAATTCTCACTGTCTTTTATTTTTTTTAAGAAAAACTTATTTTTTCTTCCTTTTCCTGAAACCCCATAAAGCGAAATCGCAAAGGTGTCTTGGAAAAGGGGGATTTTGCAATAAAAAGGAGGGGTCTTTAGGGGGGAGGGAAGAGAAAGGCGTAAGCTTTGTTTTGGGGCAATGGGGGATTTGGAGAAGCAAGAGAGGGTGGAAGAGGGAAGGGAAGGTGATGGTGAGGAGGAGAAGGAGAGGCTTTTGGAGGGCATGGCGGTTTTGGATTTTGACATGCTTTGTTCCTCTGTGGCATTGCAAAGTGCTCATGGAAGTTGGGGGAAGCTTGGTGGTGGGGATGAAGAACAGCAAGGTGGGGTTTTGAGGATGTGGGAAGGTGAGCTTCTTGATTGCTTTGAGGATCGTCGCATCGCTTTCGAATCTGCCTGGTGAGGTTTAATGTTACGTGCTTTCTATTTGAAAAAAAAAAATATTGTGTTTTTGAGGTGTTGTTTATTTGATGTTCTGTATGATGGGAAGTTGTGTATTTAAAAATAAAAATGAAATTGTTTTGGACGAGGATAGCACTAGTTGTTGTCTGAAGCTTAGCTAATTTTGAAAGAAGTGAATTAGGTTATCGTTATTTGTTAATATTCATCCTTCATCTCCGGGTAGAGAAATTTCAGTTCTGTAAGATGTCCTTTTTGGTCATTAGGTCCCTAATGTAAACTACGTTAAGAATGTGACTGGTAAGCGGGTTTCAATTTAGTTTGCATTTTATTTTTTGGCATGGATTTTTGTTCATAAATTCAAGGTTTCATGATTTAAATGGTAGAACTCGAGGAGTCCGATATTGTTATTGTTATCTTCTCAATGTTGGGTGTAGGTGAGGGATTTGTGACATTGATGCTTATTATTCTTAGTTGCTGATATATTTTGTTGGGTTTTGACAGATTAAATTAGGTCAGTGTAATTTGTTTGCTCATTTATGTGCTTGGGCACTTTGTCTACTCATATACACATGTATTTATGTGAATACCTTTCTGGTCAATGAAAGACTAAAATGCAAAATTATACAAAGACACGGATAACGTGCTGAGGTTTTGTGGTTATTCAAAGGACTTGTAATATATCATGTTTGTAAATAGTTGCTCATTTGCGATGCAGTTGCCCTTGCTACCGATTCGGGAAGAACATGAAGCTAGCTGGTTTTGGTTCTTGCTATATACAGGTATATTTAAATTTCTTGGAAATTCAAATTGCACGTGTTGTTTAGAGGGATCATATTATAACTCCAACAAAAGGGACCACTTTTAGAATTGGCAATTACTTTATCAATTTGTCTTATAGTTTATGGCAATATAGCTCTCTGAAGTTTGAATTTCCATGTTTTATGTTGCAGGCTATAGTTCATTTTCTCCTCGCTGCTGGTGCCTTTGTTAATTTCATTGCCTATACTATCACGAAGACTCACTACTTCTTATACCTAGCGGTTGCATTCATCATTGCTCTTGGAGCATACTTAGGATACTACCGAACCCGTATGCGAAAGAAATTCAACATCAAGGTGAGCATTTTTTCTTCCTATACTGGAGTTGTGTTTATTATTAGCACTAAATATTCATAGATAGGTTTTGATAGAGTTATTTACATATTTTCTTTTCCCTCTATCATATATTTTTTCTTGTTTGGACAAGGCTCTTCTTACCTCTACAGTATGGGATGTATCCACCCTCTCAATTTTAAGGGTGGATTACTTGCACGCATTAGGGGCAATCTCACTTTCTAGGGCTTTTGTCTGTCTTGTTTTCTTTATTTATAGAATCTACATTTACACACTTGTGAGAATACGAGGTTCTTGTGGTTTCCTGCAAATCTACTGAAATTATATATATTTTTACCACATTGTATATAAGCTGCTGACGTGAAAGACACAGTTTATGATGTAAAAAGCAATATTTGCTCTTAGTCTCTTAAAAATAAATAGTCTGCATTTGGTCCAATGGTCCCTCATTTATTGAAATGTGTCATATCATATGTGATCTTTATTTTCCTCAAATGAGGGACCAAAAATAGACAATTTATTTTGATGAAAAACAGACAACATCTAATACATTTTACAAATGAGGAACCAAAAAGAGACAATAAATTTTTGAGGGACCAAAAACAAACTTTATCTTATTTGCATGGACTAAATATATTTAACCCTGTTATTTATTTATCTTGCTGGATTACAGCATCTTTAGTTTGATTCTGTTAGGAGCTATCCAATGTGCGATCAAATGACAAAACTGTTATGTTTTCTCCTTTATCCTTATATTGTACAATTCATTTAGACTAAAGTGACAAATTTTATTTGGCATTTTTGCCTGCATGCACCAATGTTGGAGCATGAGTTTTAAAATGTTTAAAATTGATAGAGTAGCTGACTTTCTGATCTGTGTGGACTGAAATGCATGTTGACTTTATTTTTATCAATTGAGCTTATATTTGTTTGCGTAATATATATTGACCAACTCTGACTAAACTTTGGCTGTGTGTGTATATCTTACACGCTTTTGATTGGTGATTTTTCAGGGTAGTGATAGTTCGTTAGACGATTGTGTTTTCCATTTGATCTGTCCTTGTTGCACATTATGTCAGGTAATTTCTAAATTCTTTCCCTTCTTGGCTCATGTTGATTGAATTAGCTGTATTCTGAAAAAAAAATGAAAGCTGTTGATAATTGAATATCTTTCACATTAGTGGTGAGCGTAGCCAAAATGGGGACATATTTATAACTGGGGGTGTTGAATATTTATATCTCTGTAATATATATTACAGGAGTCAAGAACACTTGAGATGAACAATGTTCAAAACGGCACTTGGCACGGTCGTGGTGACACAATATTCATAGGTGGCTTTAGAGATGATAGTAAAGCTCTCTCTGAGTTACGCCCTCCTTCTATTGTATCCATCAAGCCTACTGATGAAGAAAGGAGCATGGATGTTAGCAATGAATCTTGAGTCAAGGTAATGGAGAAGCATTGAAACAATGGTTCTTCATCTGAAGTCTCTTCCTGGTATCTGCAGTGCATATTTCATCAATTTTGTTGCCAAAGAAATGAATGTAATGATGGCTGCAACACATCAAATTCCCTCTAGTAATGATGGCTTCTAATGTTGTTTTTATAATCATTGGAGGGGGAGACGTTAGTTTGCAAATGTGCATGTTGGTTATGTATGTCATTTTCAACTATTGGGGGTCTTATTTTAACCAAACCCCTGAGTATAGTTTGATTATAGTGTTGGAAGAATGCCATTGTAATTGTGTATTATGCCTGTGATAAAGATTTTCGCAAACCTATCACTTGGCAAGTGAACCAAGTTTCGAAGTAGTATTTAAAGATCGTCCTCAGGGATTTGCGTGTTTAGTAATTCTCGCTCAAATGATTTAAAAGAGAATGAGTTTAAAAATTCAATTGAGTGAAAACAGATTCAAACAACACAATAAAGCAAACGTAGTAAAGACAATGATTAAGAAACAAGGATTGACTCAGATGTACTTGCTAACTCATAGATCTTCTTAACATAAATGCAATTCTAATTTCATTATTTCCACGTTCATTAAATAATCCAACAAGATTCCTCAAGGTTGAATCCTAAAGTCATTAAGCTCAAAACATGATTCCTCAATGTTTTGAGTCTAACACTTCGCATTAAGAACAATAACTTGAACAATGTGACTAACCAAATCAAGTCTATTCCTAGAACAAGAGGTGATTAGGTGCAAGATTCAGTTCGGGTTTTCGAAAGCGTTTTCCAACTGGATTCAAAAGCCAAAAATCATACAACGGTTGATCAAGCCGATATAAGCGTTAAGCGAAGAATCATTACACAAATAATGAGATCAAAATGCATATATTTAAGAAGAAGAGGAGTTAGTAGTTACATCTAACCAATCCTTAAGAAGTTTAGCCACCCATGGCCATTACAGAATCAAAGAGTGAAAAGAAGAAATTACAAAGCAAAGGATGAAGAAATGGAGTTGATCTTCGTTCCCAAAGGATCCAGCTTCCAAGTCTCTGTTCTTCCTTCGTTCTTCCTTCTTCACAAGCTTTTCCCCTGTTTTTCTCTGTTAAATTCGTGCTCCCTATGTTATCCCTTGTTTTTCCCTTTTATATTGGCTTCAAAACAAGACCAAAAAGTAACTTTTATTTCCACGGCTGCAGCTGCAGATCCACGGCTATAGCTGTGGAGAGTCCTTCAGGGTGAAGAAACCTCCAAGGCTGCAGCTGTGAGTTCACAGCTATAGCTGTGACAATTCCTTCAATCTTAAGGAACTTCCAACGCTCAAGCGGTGAAGCCACAACTATGGCTGTGAGTCTCTGGAGTTTTTATTGGGTCCTGGGTGCTTCCACGGCTTTAGCTGTGAGTCCACAGCTTTAGCTTCAACTCTCTGGAGCTTCAAAGTACATTTCAGATTTCCACAGCTATAGCTGCAGATCCACAGCTATGGCTGTGGATCTGCGCCTAGCCCAAAATCCCGCAAAAATTGAAGAAATTCCTTAAGATTGCTACTACTCCTCTGCTCTTATAGTATAACTTAATTCTAGAGATTAAAGGGGTGAAATAACATATATTATCTACAATTACCCAAAAAGAGTGCCAAAAGTTGAGTGTAAATCATACATAAAAGACACTCAACAGCCTGCTCTCGCATCAAAGTTTCATCGACTTTTCTTGAGGACCATCTTGCGAATCTGGCTTAAAATAGAATTCTTTTATATATTACAGGCACACCAAAGAGTCAAAGAGAATATAAATGTAGGTTAATATTTATATCAGTTAAGTGTTTCAAGATCCAAATTATATTCTTAACTATTTCTAATCAAAGCATAATACACTTAGCAATTGATTAAAGTAAATTTGACCATTATTACAGATTCAATTGATTGAAAATTTGATCAATACATCTAACAATTAATCTATAAATATTATAAAGAGGATACTGAGACATGTAATTACTTTTGGTCTCCATTTTTTAGTGAATCATTATACCTCTCAAATATAAATTTTTTTTTTCTCTAAACAACTATATGTAAACTTCTTATAATATGTTATTTGTATATAATTATTAGAAGTATGAAGTGCCTCGACCGTTCTAGTTTTGTATAAAGAAGATTTGAGTATTGTGATAATCATAATTAACAATTTTCTTGAATTAAATTCAATCGGTACATTTCAACAAATTTATTTGTAATTGTAAATAATTTATCTAATTAAGACATTTTCTAAAAATTAAAATGATATAATACATGGGTGAATGTAAAATCATTTAATAACATTAATATTAATAATTATTTTGTGTATATTTTAAATATTTATATACATATTTATTAGCACTTATTTATAAAAAGTAAACAAAATAATTGATGAATATATTAAAAAAAAAAATCTAAACAATTTTAAATCGAAAAGTATAAACTTAATACCCGTGTAAGACACATATCATTACGCCACTGTCCAGTAAATAGTAATTCTTTTAAATGAAATCTGAAGTATGACTCCAAATAGAAAAGACACTAAACCTGACTATTTTCGGTTGGTATGTTCTCAGATTTTATTGACCAAGAGAAATAATTATTTTTATTAGTAAAGTATTGTAAATACGAAAACTTTGGATAGAGGGACTTTGCATCAACATGAGAGAGCATATTTTACATGTTAAATAAATCATCTCAGGTCACAAGAACTAAGAGTTACATAGATTCCTAGCTCAAAGTGTTTGCTTAAAAATGTTTTCTGATGAAGAAAAATGCAAGTAAAAAAGAATAAATTAATTGATCTCACGATCCTGCCCATCCAAAAGCCCCAAGAGAAAGAAGGTCCACTTTTATGATGTTTTTGGGCCTCATAGCACGCAGTCATCTTCTTTAAGGAATTAATTGCAAAGAGTTTAAGCCTCATTAATGTCCTTGGTTTCAAACATTGCTTTTTGAATAAGTGGCAGATTGGTTATATAAAGAAGCTGTTGGAACAATGATATATGGTGCTTTTGACCAGAGAAAACATGATTATTATTAGAAAAGGCAAGAGACATGCATGATAATGATCCCCTTTCTTAAAGCAATTTGGACAACATCATCCATCTTGAAATGGAACAATGTTTAGGCTTCTCTATGTTTCAAGTAATAACAACGCAACATAGGGAACATATCATTATTCAGTAACATGTATTCTTTAACAGCCACAGCCAAGCCTAAAACAGTGAAACTCACGCTGAACCACATTTTGGCATGATTTTACTTGCTTAAAATTAGAAACGAAACATGCCAGCTATGATGTAATTCTGTCACGACCTTAATAAACGTTCAATCAGATTCAAATTAACACCTATATCAGCTGTTTTATTTCATTGCAGGGGTGCCACCTTACAACTTCCATTTCATTTAATTTAATTATTTCTGAATTTCATTTTGGTGAACGACACTCAGGAATGTATGGATATCTCAACTATCATATTCCAAAATCAAGGCCTCGCGTCCTCTCTGTTTTGGACTGAGTGGAAACAGTGACACAGAAAAAACATGATTGTTTTCCCTCAGCTTCGACCTTCTTGAGTTTGAGAAAACTTGAATCTGTTTCTTCAACAAAGACCATCAAATTCTTTGTCGTTTGGTGTTTCTCTCCAGCACACTCACTGGAGTTACAGTGCTTAAAAATCTTGTATCCATCATTAACTTCTTTGCTTCCATTCTCAACATCCCTTGCATCAAATCAAAGCACTTGGGCAACATCTCCTAAAATAACCATCATCAATATCGTGATGCTAATGTCAACAATGTATCAAAACATTTGCTTCAAAGAGTAGCGATTGAATGCAAACTTACCTCATCTAAATACTCACAGGCTGTAATTGAAGCTCTCAGAATAGAATATTGCTTCGGAAATAGTTCATGAGATGCAAAGATAAGGGCAGTTGCTGCAATAGTTGAAGGTTTATACTCTAAGAACTTAATGTCTGCAACCATAAGAAGTATGAAATTCAGAGTTTGTGCTTATTGGAATTGAATAAAGATTAAAATTGAGTTACATGTATGAATATAAAGAAGTAAGTACTAGTACCATTTTGAGCATTGAAGATTATCTCTGAAGCTCTTTCTTTAAGTGCTTGCTTCAGTGTTTGGTCTTTAATTTCGGCTAAAGAAAGAAAGAAATGAAGGAAAGAAAAAGGTGTAATTGACCTCACACGCCATTTCAGAGCCCCCAGAATAAGAAGCTCCATTTTCTGAATATTTTGAACCTTAAAGTTGCAACCTTCTTTCTGGTTCATTGATTGTAAACACCACATGTTCAGGTTACTATGACATGGTTACAGATTGTCCTTCAATTAAAATAATGATTGTAATTATGTGAAATTTGAAGATTTACCTGCGTATCCAAAAATGATATAGTTGTGTTCTTCATCTTGGAAGCAAGAGAAAGACATGATATGACAAGAAGCCTGAGAAACCACGGCTTCCCCGGCTGCAAACTCAGGACATTAGATAAGGGTAAAAAAATGGAAATTACTGAATGCTATTAAGGTACAATTGTTCGAAGGTATTCTTACTTTACTATGAAGTGAACATAAACTTAGAGGGAAATCATTAGATATCTTCTTACCGGAATTTCTTGGCTTGATACGAAACGGTGCAAGTAATTTATAGCAAGGTAAGCTACAATTAGGTCCAAATTGCAAGAAAACTGAACCTGGAGAAACATAACAAAATGTAGCAAATGTGACATGAAATCTGACTCATTTGAACTGAACATATTACATGGACATAACATAAGTTTCACCTGAAGTATAAGAGATATGGCTTCAGAACGGAAGGAAACGTGAAAATGTGTTGAGCTTAAGCAGTTTGGGGAGGGCATGTGATCAGATTCAGAGGCAAAGAGTTTTGATATAGTAAAGGTTTGCTCTTCTTCCAAGTTGACTAGTGGATCTTCAAGATCAAACTCCATCTTCTTTTACTTGCTCACCTAGACTGTGTTCTACATTCTGTACATTGTTATTGAGGAATTCAATGCATAAGAAATACAAAGAGACAAAAAGTCTCCAGATGGTAACTGTATTGATGGAAAAGAAAGAGAAGCTTCGCTTTCTGTGTTGATAAAGTGATTATGTTGGCCTTCTTTATTGGCAGTAGTAGTATTTACGCATACATGTCATGGAATTTGGATTCTTCGCTCATCACTCTTCCTCATCTATAGACATAGAAATCAGCAAAAGCACGAGAGAAGTGAGATAAGGAGGGTTAAAGAGTTCACCAAGTTTTGAACTAAATACTAGGATTACATTTTCTACCATAAGATAAGTTCTACATGTTTCAAAATTTAGGAAAGAGAACATATTAATGTAGCATGTGCTTTTGATCTGAGATGGAAGTGACAATGTTTTGGTTAACATTAGGAGTGTCAGCATTACTTTCGTTTACACACACACACAAGTGGTTGAATCACCGTGTCCCACTGATATCATGACGTTCATAAATTTTAAATTTCTACAATTCGTGCTTACATATTCTAGGCAAAATTATACGGTGTAAAATTGCATATGCTATTATTTCGTGTTCTAATATTCCTCTATAGAAGATTAGTACATTTCTGTTTAGTGAGTTTTAATTAATTTGAAACCTCTAATTTGCCTTGCTTTTAAAATGGGATGCATGCTGGTGTACAGTGAAGTCATACCTTATGGTAGAGGTTGCATAAGGTGAGAATATTTAAGGGTTACATTACATGAAAAACATGTCTAACAAGTGGTCCTCTGCTTGATCTGGTAAACAGACAGCAGGGTAGAGACAGTTGTGGTATGCATCCATCCTCGTGTCCGAAAAAAGTGCTGCTAAACATTGAAACATGCTGCTAAATCCATCGCTAAGTACAAGCTAGTAGCAGCTAGAAATCCAACTTGCATGTCCTATTGTGATTTGTTGTCACACCCCTTGTAATGTAAACATGTGTACCCCTTTATGTGTTTATTTGAGGAACAAATAGAGATTTTTAACAGATAAACAATGTTTCATGGCATTCTAATTATTTCATAATGCACACGCATTTTTAGTTTCGGCTTTTGATATGAGTCACACCCCTTTTGCCAGAAAAAATAAAGGGAAAAAGCAAAAAAAAAAAAAACTATATTCTCTTCAATGATAGCTATGATATCTTTACCGTATTCCCTTTGACTCGTTCGCTATCTGAATCCCAACAAGAACAAAAAGGAATCCTCTTTTACTATGACATGCTCAATAATAATAACTTTGACTCGTTTTGATATTCTTTACTACTAATGTTAGACTCACTATGGAAATACTTTGGTATTTTTTTCCGGGTCACCCCACTGTGACAATGAAGTTAATAATGTTGCCATCTTTCTGAGTTCTCACTCGCATAGCAGAATATTAAACAGTTCCCATAAGTCATAGTGTAATAGTGATTGTGTTGGAGACATTAATGCAGAGTTGTTCACATGATGATGATGTCAGAACTGAGAATCTTGCTTGAATTGACGGTCGTCGTCTGGGTTGGGGATTATCTGTAACGTATTGGTGATTGGGGTCTTGAGGGACATGCAATTGTCTTTTTACCACATTACATGTGACTTGTGTTATATAAAGATCTAACTTGGTACTGTCTAATTTATTTTTTTAAAGGACATTTTTAGTTAAAAAAAATCTGGGAATTTTAAAATACTTTGCAGGATTTTCACGACTTTTAAGATTTTACAGGATTTTATAGACTTAAAATCAGGATTTTAATGAGTTCTGCAATACTTTTAAATCAGAATTTTAATGGATTCTGTGTGATTTTGTGGAGTTTTGACATTTGATAAGATTTAAAAAAAAAATTCATACATTCAAGTTTAAAAAGAGTCAAAGACAAAAAAAACAATAATGTCTAGATAAATAATAATAATAATTTTTCATAATATCCTATCCTCTTTTTTATAGCATTCACTATCAATTGTAACAATTTATTGGAATCCTCCTTGGTCCAAGTTTCATAATTTTCTTTCTCTTTTCCTTTTTCTTTATTATTTTCTTGTGAATCTCCCATTTGAATTACAAAAACAATATATATTGAAAACTAGTTATATAAATAATTATAGATAAGAGAAAAAATTAATAAAATTATATTATTATTTTTAGAAGCACACTAATCATACAAGATCGAATATATTTTAGCTATCTAAATGGATCAAATACCTCAGTCATTATAAAAGAAAATATAAAAACAAAAACATAGAAACATAAGATAATTTTTTATATAAAAAAATCAGTATATTCGATACTGAAAAAATATTTAGATATATAATTTTTTTTATATAAACGGAAGTATTTAGATATAGAATATATATATATATATATATATATATATACTATTTTAGTTATATACTATATGATAATTTTTAACGATATTTATAAATGTAAATTATTCTAACAAATATTTTAACAATATTTTCTTTTTTAAAAAATAAGTTAATGAAGGCATAAATCCTAAACCCTAAAAAATTAGATATTGCAATGTCTTATGTTAATTTTCTTTTTTTAAAATATAAAAAATCTTAATTTCATAATATAAAAATAAAAAAGAAAAATTCATAGTAAAAAAAATAAAATAATTGTTGAGTCATAAAAGGAGGAGGGATAAGAGTAACAAATTCAAGGGAAAGAGAGAATTCGCAATTTTTATGCTAAGAGGGTTCTTCCCCCTACTATATATATTGTAGAGATTATGATATCAATTTCATCTTTCATCTTTTTCTTTTCTTAACGTGTGTTATAAAAAAAATTATCACTTAAAATTTGAAATTTCAAGCATTTTTTTGTGTTATATAAAGGAACAAATTCAACTACATAGAATAAAATAAAGCAAGTCAATTAAAGAGAACGAACAGAAAAATAGAGCAAGTCAATGACACTATCATTTACATATCAGAATTTCACAAAATAGGGGAATGGGATGAGAACAGTACTATAATATTATATATGAGCAATGAACAATAGTGTAATATTATTAGTAGAGAAAAAATGGAGAAGAAAGGAGCATAGAAAAAAAAAGATGAAAAACTCACTTGAAAATTCTTGAAATACTTGAAAAATCACTTCAAACAATCCTTCAAAATGCGATGGGTTTGGATGAGATTATTTTATGAATCTGGTATTTATAGATAATACTAGAAAATCCTTCAAAATTCCTCTCATACAACAATCCTTTAAAATCCTTATGTTTTTTAATATCAATGGATTATTTTTAAGTTGTAAAAAATCTCAAATGAATACTAGTAGATTTTAATGGACTCTTTAAAAAATCTTGAAAATCCAGATTGAATACTACTGGATTATTTTTAAGTGACATAAAATCCTGATTGAATACCAATGAACTTTTTTACTCAAATTTTTTTTTTTAAATCTTATGAAATCTTAAACCAATACACTTTCGTAAGTGTCAAATCTTATGAAAATTTCATGAATTAAAATATAAAAGACAAACAGACCAGGAATCATTCCATCACTATAGTGTGCTAGAGTTTGAAATAATATGGACCGTTTTAAGTTCCAATTTTATTTTCCTAACGATTAAAAATGAATTATTTACCGACAAAAACACTTTTTGGTTTAGCATCCTTAAGATATACTCTCTCCATTTCTTTATATAAAAAATAAATAGGTACATTATTTTTTCTAATTATAAGAATCTAGAATGAAAATGATCAATAAGAGTAAAACAAAAATATTCACATTATAAATAATTAGCATTTTAGTTTTTTGCAATGTATGGATTAAATATTTATTATATATATCTATAATTTATAACAAACTATATATATAAATAAATATTATATTTAAATATAATTATATTTTGTATTTATGATAAATAATTTATATTATAACATAATATTATTTTTATTCATTGAAAATTTATTTTAAAATATTAAAATTTCATTGATAAATAATTATAATAAATAAAAATTAAATTAGATAAGAAGTTAAAAAAATTTTCATAAAAAACTCTTTAAAAATATTTTGCACAATGTAAAAGTCTGTTTTTAATATATAGGAATTAATTTTAAAAAATAACAATACTTCATCTTATCCTTTATATGAGAAATAAATAATTAATTCACTAACAATAATAAAACTAGTTAAGTTAATTAATTTTATAAATACTTATAAATTAAATCATTTAAGTGATGATTATATATAATAATAATACTAATAATTCAAAAACTAAATTTTCTTATCAATGAGTGTGACTTATATTATTAATATTTATTATTAATTTATTTTATATTATTAATTGGTTAATAAATACATCTACTTAATAATATATTAAATTGTGACATGTTTATATTTAGGTAAAAATATATATTATACATGTGTCATAATTTAACCTATTTTTACAAATCTTGTTTAAATGCATTAAGTTATACCAACTTTTCCGTCTTAAAGTTAGGAAATCCAAATCCAAAAAATTTGAGTATATTTGATTAATATATTTTACAATGAATTAAGGATATAAAAATAAATTAATAACAATTAATAATATTTTTTAATTGTAATATGTTATATTTTGACAAAATGAATACTAGTTAATCAAATACATTTCATTAATTTTATGTTGTGGAAATCAAACCAAACTCACCAGTCAGGTAACTAGTTTAAGTAAACAACAGAATCGTTTGGGAAGAAAATTGGTAAAAAAAACCAAAAATCGGTTAAAAATGACAAAAAAAAGGCCGATCATAGTTGGTCATGAAAAATGCTTAATATAACATCATTTTGATTTTTTCTTAAATAAATAAAAATCAGCTACTTGTTATTTTTATTCACTTTGTATGTAATATTATAATTAATAAATACTAATGTGTATTGTTAAAATTTAAATTTAGTATTATAGTATAATTTTTTTTTAACTTTTGTATATGTTTTAAATATTAAAAACTTATATATATATATATATTTAAAAAATATATATATATTTTTTTTAAATTTTAGTATTATAAAGTTTAACTATGGTAACCTGTCAAATCATTGTATCTTAAATTAGCACTTTGACTTGTTGTATAACCGATTCCATTACAAAGTCATTGATTAATTTTTCAATGAGGCATATTCCCGATAATACGAAGTTACTGTTACGGACCCTTAAAATGCAATGTAGTTGGAAATAAAATATTTCTTTCAGTAAAACCCATTTAACGTTTTGCTTCGTTTTTTCTAAGTCGCACCACCTAACTTTCCTAAAAAAACAATGAAACACTTTGCTTCGACAAAAGCTGTAGTTATGGTTACTTTCAATTAAGGTAAAAGTTAATTCAAGAATGTTGTTCCAGAAAAAAAAAAAATCATATTTGAGAATATGTTTAACAAGGTTCTTCTATTGTATGATCTCACAAAGGACCTATGTTGCGATGTTTTTGGGTAATATTTTCAGAAATTTCGTCCCAGTGACCTATATATACATGGACCTTGTACCTGTACCTGTTTTATTTTAATTTTTTACACAGCCAAATAGAATTGTTAATATAAATGGACCTGTACTTTTTTTTTTTTTTTTTTTACAAACCACGTTTAACTGCTCCATTCAAATAGATTTTTTTTATACAGCCAAATAGAATTGTTAATATCTACCAAAAACTCAGAATTGTTAATGAATAACAAAACTTTTATTTATGATGGAAAAAAAAAAGCAATTTTTTTCCAAATATTTAAAGTATTTTATATTTGTCTAAAATTACTAATTATAATAAAACAATTTCATATTTGTTGATGCATTTACTTAGTAGCATGAACCTATATATGTTGCTATTTGTTTTTTCTAATCGCATTAGCATTCTGATGAAAACATAATGAAATTCACTTCTTTTTTTTAAGAATTAGACTTTTTTTTAAAAAAAGAAAATATAGGATGAGAATGGACCGGTTCATATCATCGCTCTCACGGTCAAATATTTTTAATATTTTTCTCCCTTCACTCATTTAGTTGTATGTTTCATGCATTGCTTCCATAATTGGTAAAAAAAAAAAATTCTCTCATGGTCATCTCAAATTAGTCTTCAATATTTATCTTTATTTGTATATTTAATCTTCTTAATCATCTTTTCTTTTTAACCTACCATCTCTTGTCATTATTTTAAAATATAATTTCAATAGACTTTTGAAAAGAATTTGTTGATAATCAAAGTTTTTACTAAATAGTTTAATTTACTCTAAAAAAATATTTTACTTTATTACATAAATTAAGATAGATTCATAAGAAATATTATAAAGTTAATTAATTTTTTTTCTTCTAATTTTTTAAAAATTCAATCCAATCTCCAAATAACCCTACTATATAATACAACATTATCTTTAAACTCATGCAATGAAGAGAATCCTATTAAGGTAAAGTACAAAATGACTATCTACTCCATGTAATACATAATAGTTATTATTATTATTATTATTTTATAAGTATAAGTATATATATGAAAATCAATCTTTTTCTTTAAGAGGAATAGAGGATAAAAAAATCAATCTTAAAAGTCATATGTACAAACATAATATATGAATAATTTAAAAAAAAAATAATTTTGTTTCAACTAGAATGTATTTACAATTTTTTTGTCCTTCATCGAGTTTTTGTGATGAAACAATGTGTTGTTTGTATTTTACCTTTTTGTCTGCTTCTAGTTGTTGAAAATGTTTTCATTTTGGAAGGCATATATTTCCACGTAGAGGTTATTGACGTGAGTAGTCATTAATCCATTTGGCATGCACCCATTTTAAGCAGAGGTCACGAGGTACGTTGAGTTTTCAAAAATAGATTCAACCTTACATCGTCTCTCACATTGGTGCTCCCTCAGGGAGGCACCAATTCTAACTTGTTCTTCCCTTGTTTGTGTTCATCTTCTCAGAAAAACACAACCAAGGGAAGGGGTTCTGCTCCTTTCTTTTCTGCCTAACATATTCGGAAGAGGAGGGAAACAAATTAACACGCCTTGACCATCACCATTACCAAGTGGTGCTTATTGGTTGTGTTGTTGATCATTTTAGAGATTCCAAAAAATGAGCAACACAACGACGATGGCACCGTTTGATCTCTCAAATAGATCCATCATTTGCTACACGCCAACCATGACAACAACCAATGGCCTATGGCAGGGAGATAACCCTTTTGATTACTCCCTTCCTCTCTTTATCTTTCAATTAACGTTGGTGGTATTTGCCACACGTTTCTTTGTTTTCATCCTCAAGCCGTTTCGCCAACCGCGTGTCATTGCTGAAATCATGGTAACTTATGTTCTCTTTCTAGTTCCAATCACATTGATTCTTTATTATTATATTGCCATCTTATAACACAAGTATCCTCCACCGGTGTTTATTTCATTGTTATTATCATCAACTAGGAAGAAGTTGTTACATGGCCTCTGATAAGATCAAGAAACTATATGCATTAGGCTTTTTTGTTGTAACCATGTAGATATATCAACAGGAAATTAAACTATAGTTGGTAATATAACTTTAATATTGCATGGCATTGATTTTGTTGCTTTCAAATATTTTATAACTGGGTGGAATGATTTGATAATATTTATAGGGTGGATTGTTATTGGGTCCATCAGTGTTTGGTAGAAATGAAAGATTTGCCAATGCTATATTCCCTTTGAAAAGTGTGATGGTGATGGAGACAATGGCAAACATGGGTCTCATATACTTCCTCTTTCTGGTTGGGTTAGAAATGGACATTTCGATTATCAAACGCGCAGGAAAAAAGACACTGTCCATAGCCATTGCTGGAATGATATTGCCCTTTTTGGTTGGTATTGGTCTCTCATCTTTAATATTAGTGGACGACAAAAGCATGAGCCACCCCGGCTATGTCCTCTATCTTGCAACTGTTCTATCTGCCACTGCATTCCCGGTGCTTGCTAGAATGCTTGTTGTGCTAAAACTCATCAACACAGACTTGGGGAAGCTTGCTCTCTCAACTTCTCTCGTCAATGATGTGTGTACATGGATGTTGCTTGCTCTAGCTATAGCTTTATCAGAGCAAAACACTAGCAATTGGGCCTCTATTTGGGTTGTGTTATCAAACCTTGCTTTTGTTTCTTTCTGCCTTATTGTTGTTAGGCCAGCGGTCACATGGTTGATCAAGAGAACCCCAGAAGGAAAACCTTTCACTGAGTTCCAAATATGCATAGTGCTCACTGGTGTTATGATCTCAGCCTTTATTACAGATGTTCTTGGAACGCATTCTGTTTTTGGAGCTTTTGTGTATGGCCTAGTGATTCCAAATGGCCCACTTGGAGCTGCTATAATAGAAAAGCTAGAAGACTTTGTTTCCGGGCTTTTGCTTCCTCTCTTTTATGCCCTCATTGGGCTTAAGACTGATATCAGCTTGATCAGTGGAGCTAGTTCATGGGCATTTCTATTCGTGGTGATTCCCCTCTCTTGTGTAGGCAAGATTGTTGGGACTATGCTTATGACACTTGTGTTCCAGATACCAAACCGTGATGGGGTTGTTCTTGGTTTGCTTATGAACACTAAAGGCCTTGTTGAAATGATTGTGCTCAATGTTGGGAGGGAACAAAAGGTAAGCCACTCCCTTCCTTTGGTAATCCAATTCTACTCCCCTTAATGGATCAGCGTTATTATGAATATGAAAAATCAACTCTAATTTGCATATATATATGCAGGTCTTGGGTAATCAAATTTTCTCACTCATGATTATTGCAACACTCGTAATGACAGCAATCATTTCTCCCATTGTATCATTAATTTATAAGCCAAGAAAAAGGCTTGCACCTTATAAAAGGAGAACAATGCAGAATACAAGACTTGATTCAGAGTTAAGGGTCCTGGTGTGCATTCACACCCCTAGAAACGTCCCCACAATGGTCAATCTCCTTGAAGCAACTCACCCCCACAAAAGGTCTCCCATATGTGCTTATGTGCTCCACTTGGTTGAACTCACTGGTAGAGCTTCTGCCATGCTCATTGTCCATGCCAATAGACAATCAGGAGGTCCAGCCTTGAACAAAACACAAGCGCAAACCGACCACATCATCACTGCCTTTCAGAACTTTGAGGAACACGTTGGTCATGTCCAAGTCCAACCCTTGACAGCTATCTCCTCATACTCCACCATGCATGAAGACATATGCAACTTGGCCGAGGAGAAAAGGGTATCCATGGTCATCATTCCTTTCCACAAGCAACAAACAGTTGATGGAGAAATGGAAGACACTATTCCACAATTCAGAATGGTGAACCACAACTTATTACAAAGCTCACCTTGCTCCCTTGGCATACTTGTGGATAGAGGCCTCAACGGATCCAACCGCTTGATAGGAAACCAGGCATCTCATGAAGTGGTTGTGTTATACTTTGGAGGACCAGATGATAGAGAGGCATTAGCCTATGGATGGAGAATGTCAAGGCATCCAAGAGTTAAGCTCATCGTCATGCATTTCATTCAAAGGAAGGAAACAACAACTCAAACTCCTCAAGAAGATTTGTTATTTACTAACTTGGATCAAAGTTTCACGAATGGGAGGGAGGAGAAACTGGATGAGGAGTACATAAATGAGTTCAAGTGGGTGATTGCAAATGATGACTCAGTTGTTTACGTAGACAAGTATGTGAGTAATGGAGAGGAAACAGTTGCAGCAATAAGATCAATGACCCATGCAAATGACTTGTTCATAGTAGGGAGGGGTCAAGGGATAATGTCACCACTAACAGATGGTTTAACAGATTGGAGTGAGTGTCCGGAGTTGGGAGCCATAGGGGACTTGCTAGCTTCTTCAGACTTTGAAACAACAGCTTCAGTGTTGGTGATGCATCAACATGTGGGGCAAGATCAAGATGGGGAGGAAATTTTTGTGATTGAGAGACCGTGGCAAACCAGTGAAAGCTACCAGCACATGAAACAACAGCAACACATGCAAAGATACACAATGCCAGTGGGAATGGGACACTCTCTTTTATAATTAATAAATATGTATGTTTCCTTGTTCGAGTTCGAGTTCGAGGTTAGGTTTCATTAGAGGCTACGTACCCACCTTTGATGTGCGATGTACCCACCTTTGAATGCCACAAATTGTAGATTTTAGACATTAAGCAATTGGCAGTGGGGTGGGGCTTGTCTCTTCTTGCAAGACAACAAGAGGAGAAGAAGGCTGACTTCTAGTGTATAATAAAAAATTATAGCTTACTCTTCACCATATTTTTTTTCTTTAGTAAGAAAAAGAAATCTGTGAATTTAAACATTTCTCAATTAAATGTTAGGCTTTAGTTAAGTTAACTACTTCAAAATGTGGTAAAGACCACGCACGCATATTTTTGAAATTTTTTTCCATCAATTGACATGACTTGTTCATGTTAGATTAATCGTGACTTCTCAAGTTTTAGTCTTGAGTTGCAGCAACGTTAAAGGACAATTTTACTACTCAGAGTGATTCTACCAAAATTAAGCTATTAAAGAAACATATGATCTTTGCATAATAATAATAATAATAATAATAATAATAACAACAAAATATAATAATAATAATTACTATTATTATTATTATATAACACCTTTAATTGTTACAAAATTCACACCATATTATCTTTTCATTATTTGGGTAATATTAAAGAAAAAATATTATTGGAATTTTAACTTGAACAACACACGTAAAAATATTTATTATGCATAATTAAAATTTATAATAAATAAATATTTCTAAATAAATAAGAAGTATAAGTTTACAATTCTTATTGAGTCAACTCATTTAAAAGTAAAATAATATATTTGATTGTGATTCCATATATATATATATATATATATATATATATATATAAAGTAGACATCAAACTTTTAAGTCCTTAAAATCATAAATCCTAACACTCTCTACATTATAAATAATAGAGTTAATTTTGAAAGTGAAAAGTTATATTGTTTAGAGAGATGGAATTAGAGAAAAAAAATGAAGGAATGTTTTTTTTTTCTTTGTTTTCTAGTTAAGTATATTATTTCTTCCTTAAAATATCACAAATTATTATTATTTTAGATAAAATAGAAAAAATTACAAGAATGATCACAATTGTGATCAAACATAGGTTTTCATATTTTTAATTACTCTCAATCCCTTCAACTCCTTCCACCACTAGATTTTAGTCCATTATATTAAGGATTTAAAACACATTTTTATTAAAATATAGAGACTAAAAAATTACATTATTTTGTGAGATAAAAACACATTTAACTTAATTCTTTTTAATTATTAGGTAACATTAAAAAATGTTGATGAAATTACCTATTTTTAAAGATAGGGTTAATTTTATGAGTTGGCCAAAAAATATATACTTTATTTTAATAAAGGGTGGATATGCAAAAGCATCACAGTGCAGGGTGGGATTCTAACTAAGAAAGCACCAGATCCTACATCAATCATTTATAGCTCGACCAAAATACTATATATAGGAAAATGAAAAAAAAAAAATAGGGGACTAAACCAAACCCAATAAAGAAATACAAAACAATACATGAAAGGAAAAATTAAAAGAAAGCAGAAAAAGTCTAAAGAAATCAAATCATATCCATATGTGGACAGGTGATTGTGAGAGCTGAGTTCAAATCTGCCAAGTCAAAGCTGTTGAAGATAAAAGTCTTCATGACAGTTTGGTAGACTTGGCATCTCTAGACCGAGTTCTAGGCACCAAAGCAGCAGATAAATGTTGCTTTTTCTTCTGACTTTTGGATGTCACGGGCTGGAGAGGTTGAGCCTCCACTTGAGCATGCTAATCAAAGCCACTAGCTGCAAGCAGGTTCATGTCGTGCTGGACGTACTGAAGAATCATAGTGTGACAGATCATCGGCCTTAGTAGAATCGGATTTATTATGACTCATATTAGCTGGTTGAGCTGAAAACCTATGCTCCTGAACATTACTGAAAGCCAAAGCCTGCTTGTCAGCATCAAAGACTATATCCTCCAAGGGAGGCATGCCTTTTAAAGAGCTACTGGCTGCTGACAAGGCAGTGTTGGAGACTGCATAAACCATTATTGTAGTATCATGATTAGGAAAAGTGTATGGGACAACTATAGTTACATGAGACTGAGCGGTTCCGCTGCATGTTTTGGACAATTAGGATCTGCAATATGAACAGGAGATTTAACTGGAGCAGTGACCACCTCCTGCATGAAGGTAATTTCATCCTCAGATTCTGAAGCAGCATCAACAAGGAGGGACCAATTTTTATGTTTAGCTATAAATCCAGAACCATAGCCAACGCTAGAACTGTTTGGTGCAAGTTTATTTTAGGGGGCAACAAAACCCTATGTGACTAGGACCACACAATAGATGACATGTGGCTATTTTGTCAGCACTTGTTTTTTTAACAATATTTTAATATTTGTTATTTAACCCTCATTAATTGTATCTTTTTAAACAATAGTCCCTGTTTATTTAAAGGTAACATCTCTCATACACCACTTTAACAAGTGGTGCATGGTAAACCATTAGTTTTGACCATAAGATTCATCTAAATTAATAACTTATAATACTACTGAAATATTTTTTTTTAAATTACTCAAAAAATAAAAAACGAGGAACTGGAGGAACTGCTACACACGTCCGGAACGGGCCGTTCTGAATTCAGAACGGGCCGTTCCAGATAAAAAAAAAACGCATGAAAAATGAACCAGAACGGCCCGTTCCAAATTCAGAAGGGCCCGTTCCAGATAAAAAATAAGACATGACTCATTAAAACAGAACGGCCCGTTCTGAATTCGGAATCTGAATTCGGAACGGGCCGTTCTGACTATATATTTGTCAAGATTTTGTTTAAGCAAAATATTTTTTTTTTCATTCTGCTAAATTATATTTAAAATTTAAGTATAGTTTTTCAATTGATAATGTTTTTCTATTAGAATTAGAGGTTTACATTAATTATATGCGTAAAACCCATTGAGCTTAAAGCCCAAAAGCCCAAGTAAAGCCCAAATCTAAGCCTAATAAGCTTAAAGCCCAAAAGCCCAAGTAAAGAGAACCTAGGCCCACCAAACTCATTGAGCTCACTAAGCTCATAAGTAAAGAAAAGCCCAAAGGCCCATGAAGCCCAAAACTAAGCCCAATAAGCTTAAAGTCCAAAAGCCCAAGTAAAGATAACCCTAGGCCCACCAAACCCATTGAGCTCTCTAAGCTCAAAAGTAAAAAAAAGCCCAAAGGCTCATGAAGCTTAAAACTAAGCTCAATAAACTTAAAATCCAAATTACTGTACATTCTTAGATGAAATTTTCTACAAGGCTAGATTTGTTCTTTCACACAATCAATTTGCTTCACTGGGTTGAATGCTTTTCGAATTTAGATAGCTGAGCTGTGTTGTTTAAGGCATCATTTTTCCGGTGTTGCATGATTTGTTTTGTGAAGTTGAGTTGAATTTTGTTTGTTGCAACTTGCAACTCAGTAATTATATGGCTGCCTTGGGAAGGTGATGTCCTGTTTGTGAATATTGGTTTGTTTCATGTCTCTGTCACAGCGGTCCTTCTTGCAAACTGTTGATTGAGGATTTTGTTCAGTTGTAATGTTCTCTTTGAAATTTTCTATATTTGTGATGGTCTCATTAGTCATAAGTATAACCATGTCAATTATTTTGGATTTCTGTCTATTAATATTGATAAATGTCATATCCTGCTCACTAAAAGTTTTAATGGTATAAAATAGAACTTTTGTCCTGCTCACTAAAAGTTTGTTATTTTTATTGCTTCTTCATTTAACTAATTTGGATTTTACTGTCTTCACAGTTGGCTGTATTCATATATATTGATAATTTATGCCGGTAAATAAATGTTTTGAAGGATATGAATATGAAACAAAGGCTTAAAAGGATAAGAAACCTTAAATGTTTTGCAGATTATTGCCATGTTGAAGGAGAAACTTGGAGTGAAATCAGATAAAGATCTGCCAATGGTGGATTACAGGTAGAAATTTTTATACATGCTTTTGCAATTATGTTGTTGCAATTCTAGCATTCTAATATGTAAAAAGAATGATGCTTAGTTCATTAGCTACTTCGATTTTGGAATTTTCTTTCAAGATTTGATTCATGTTATTGAAAGGTAATATTCCAAATGTAAAACAGTTTTCTTGTTGGTTACCAGCGCATCCGATACATGCGTAATTTTAAAATAGAGTTTGATACAAATACAATGTGGAATTATATTGATTAATTTTGAGCTTATTTTATTAAGCTTCACAATCAAACATGTGAATAAACTCTTAAGTTGTAAGCTCTCGTATGGTTAATTAAGATCTTTACTCAAACACCATTTAATATTAAACTTAGGAAACGCAAATCTACAATTAATTTTTATTTATGTTGCAGGAAACATTGATAAATATATAATGCACTAAAAAATTTCGTTTGAAATATCTTCTTGTTTAGGCATTTGGCCAGCATTTGTACCTTCTCGAGAGAACTTTTAAAAAGAAAAAAAATAAAGTAGTTACTTCTCGAGGGGTTTATAGCCAAAATTAGAACCATGTATGAATTTTTTCACTTGTTCCAGAATACTCAAGTGGGTCACCCAAGATGAAGATGAGCTTAAAGAAACCACCAAGGGTCGAGTCCAAGCAGTAATTCTTGACATGACAAGTGAGTTTCTGTTAAATATTTCATATCAAAAGAATTTTAATGCCTAAACATTTATAAATTTGATACTATATATGCCAATGACCCTGTGCAATTCTCTTTCATAGACTTGATGAATGTTGATACTTCCGGAATTCTAGCTCTTGAGGAACTGCACAAGAGGTTGCTTTCACGTGGTGTAGAAGTAAGGCTACTCTGAATTTGATTATATTCTTTGACATTAATATACACAGGATTAAATATGTTTTTACATTACTAACAGCAAATAAGTGAATGGTCCAAATTTCTATAAATAAAAGAAGATAATTTTTTTTTAACATAAGACACATTTTTAAAAATGAAACACTAAAATAAGATGATCTTTTGTAGAAAGACTATAGATGAATATTTCATTATGTAAAAGTCCCATTTAAACGAATATCCTTGAAACTTAATAAGTTTTTGTAAGACTTAGAAAAATATAATGCATTTTTAATATGCAACTTCGTTCCTCCTGGTAACAATATATTAGCTCTTCTAGAGCCTTCAATTATATTTGTAGTATCATATAACATTATTTTCTTGCATTATTGAATATGAGAAGATAAAAATTAATACATTAGAACATTCACTTTAGGGAATGAAATAATGTTAGTTAAAATGGTTTATTGCATACAAAAAAATCTCAATATTTTGTTTTAGTCTTCAAGAGACAATAAACCAACTAAAGATATTTCTCAAGTGTTGACAAAATAGCCACATGTCATCTATTGTGTGGTCCTAGTCACAGAGGGTTTTGGTGCCCCCTAAAATAAACTTGCACCAAAGGAAAAGCCATTATATATATAAGATGACCTGCTGATAGAAGAGTATGCTTCATTCAAACCCATAAGAAAATGCATAGCATATTCCATTTGATCATAATCACACCAAGGCTGAATTCCATTGCAGGTGCATTTGTGAGTTGGCTTGAGTTCCATGTGAGATTCCCATATTGAACGCAATCTTGCATAATATGAGGAAACAGACATTGAATCTTGCTTGAGAGACACTAATTCACGTTTCAGTTGAAAAATGAGTGGACCATTGCGTTGGTCAAAACGCTCCTTCAAGTCATCCCATATAGCTTTTGCAGAAGAACAATGGAGAACACTGGTTTGCATTTCCTTGGATAGAGCATTAAGAATCCAAGAAGCAATGATATTGTCATTGCGATGCCAGAGAGAATAATGAGCATGACCAGATGCTGGTTCAACAATGGAACCATCAACAAAACCAAATTTATTTTTTCCAAGAAGAGCCATGCGCATAGCCTTTTTCCAAGAATTGTAATTATCACCAACGAGAGGATGAGACACAAGAATGTGACCCGGGTTATCAGACGAAGCGATGAATAAAGGATTGTTGTCATCCATGTGTGTAGCCATCAGAGACAAGAAAGAGAATAGATGAAGAAGAAATAGACGTTTCAGTTGAAGGAAACAACGCTCAATGCAGAAGAAAATTCTCTTGATACCATGACAGAACCGAAAGAAAAATATGATTTTATTGTAGAAAGAAAACTAAATCAATAATATTCAATTACATATGAGCAGGTCATCTTATATATATAATACTTGTTCTCCATATCTTAGCATGGATGTCCATTGTCCAAAGATGAGCAAGCAGAAAAAGAATCTTGGAGAAAATCTTGTATTTAAATTTTGTACAGTAAATACAACTTTTTTTTAGCAGACATAAGTGCCCATTTAGGAGGTAGAGATGAAATTTTGATGTCATTTTTTCAACCAGAAAAAGAATATACAGTCTTATTTATCAAATGAGTTGTATGAGATAGGCTATTGTTATTGTTTTGAAAGTAACAAAGAATCGATTATAATAAGATAAATCTTCTAGAAACTCTAAGCCTTGCAAGCCCTCATTCTAAAATTACTTCTTTCCTTTATTTTCTTCCATTCTCGCTATAGATTCCTTTATTTGCCCCTACGAGGAGAAAAGGTCAAAGACCGGCATTTGGAGTTGACAGCAGAAATACACTCTTTTTTCTTCTTCTTTTTTTTAATGAAACTTTTCATAATATTTAAATTAGTATTAATAATATCACATATATATATATATATATGATATTTATATTTTTAAAAGTATATTAATATACTAATTTATATTTATTAAATTAATGATGTTTCAATAAATATTTAATGATATTATTAATA